CTTTCCCTAGCCTTGGTGACAAACAGGCATACCTTAACCACACTAGCCCCAGTGGGCCATTAGCTTGGGTGGACCTTTGACCTGACTGGATTATATTCCTGAACCTTAGCTAGTCAACTGAACAGTCTCTTAAATCCAGTGTTTCCAGTGTTACTGACACATACACTGAGAAGGGTGGTTTCAGCCACAGGATGAAATGATTTTTCTTTCTTTCTATTACCTACTGAAGACCTACAGATTTCCACAAACTGCAGTCTAATTTATCCGTATAATTAACAAGAAAATATGTGACTGCAACACAGGAGTAAATTGTTTATTATCAGTCAAAATGTGCATGACCTTGCTGAGAGCCCAATGGAACCAGACAGGTTTTGCAGTCTCTTGAAAAAACAGAGGGCATCTATACACATGCCTGATGCCTGCTCCAGTGCATTCTAATTGGAACATGCTGGAGCAAATTCAATTAATCAATTCTGCTGGAGTGTGCTAATTAGCATGTGAACATGCCCAGAAAGTACAGCAAGGTAAGGTGAGTGGCTAGCTAAGGAAAAGCATACAAAAGTCAAAGGGGACAAACTAGCAGTGATCAAGGCCTTGTGGGCTCCTACAATTCTATGGTAGTGAAATTTGTCATAGCACTGTACTCTGGAATCTAGAGGTGCACCAATACATTGGTCCCATATCAGACTGGCACTGATATAAGGAAAATTGACCATATTGACAATTGGCTTTTTTTGTCTAATGTGGCCGATAAATGTGTGTGCGCGCAGCCATGGCACAAAATGCAGGGGGCCAGGAGTGCAGGTTGGCAGCATGAAGAGCAGCTGGGTCCAGCTGGTAAGTCTGTTGTGGGAAAGAGGCAAGGGGGGAGGGAAGGGCTGTGGGGAGAGCAGACTGAGGCCCCCACAGTGATGAAGGGAGTGGGGCTGCAGCAGGGGTAGGCACTGTCCAGCCAGGGCAGGATGCAGGACTCAGCCACACAGAGAGGAGGTAGCAGTTCCCACTGCTATGCACACCCCCGGAGGAGACAGGGGGGTCGTGCGCCCCTGGATCTGTGTGTGGGGCGAGGGCAGGCTGCTGCTGTGGGCTGGGGCCAGGGTGGTGCTGGGCTCTTCCCAGTGTGGGGTTTGGGCCGGGCTGTACTCAGGGCAGGTTGCGGTAGCGCTGGGAGGGGGTAGGGGGCTACAGTGAACTCTTGAGTGGCTGCACCCCTCACGTAACCCCCCTTTTAGCACTGCTGCAGCCTACCTTGAGCGCAGCCCAGCCCAACTCAGCCCCAGCACCAGGAAGAGCCTGGTGCCGCCCCAGCTCGCAATGGCAAGCCACCCTCACTCCGCACACAGATCAGGGAACACGTGCCTCCCATGCCCTCCCAGAGTGCACACAGACTCCACCCCGTCCCCGCACCCCCAAGATGAGCTGCTCTCGGCTCCATCCCATGTTCTGCCCCAGTTGTGCAGCACTTGCCCCTGCCCCAGCCCCAGCCCCATTCCCTCCCTCAACACGGGACGATCTGCACCCCCATGCCCCTTCCTCCACAACAGACTTACCAGCTCAATGCTGGTCTCCAAGCTGCCCAGCTGCATACTGGCAATTTGATTGGCATCAGCTGATATGGCTCGTTAAAAACTGGCCATCGGTACTGGCTCAAAAAACCTCTATCAGTGCACTCCTACTGGAATCTAAGCTTCCATTAAAAAAAAATCTAGACTTCAAAGTTTCCAAAGTAGCCTTGAAAACATTATATTGAATATAAACAAATACAGCATTCGCTGACTGCCTGAAAAATTGCAACTCTGATAAGGGGTAGCTTTCCTATCCCTGTTAAAAGGTTTTTAACTCTGAAATTAAAAAATGACAGTTTAAGTGTCAACATTATTACATTTATTTTATGTGCTAATTCCATAATTTTTAACTGCTTTCTCAGTTGCCTAAGCTTCTGACTTTTCTTCTCTACGGCTTCACCAATGAAGTGCATCGTTGATACAAAATAACCTTGGTGACATTATGTCTGTAAATGTAGGAGCATAATATAATTTAAGCTCAATATAAAAATAAATGTCTATTGATTAGACTGCATTCATATTTCATACTTAATTAAATAAAAGCATCAATGTTTTAACTTTACTTAAGGCTGCCATAGAACCTAGTGTCTCTATCAAGTACCAAAGAATATTATCCAGTTTGCTGTCAAATGAATGAAAAAAAACGATCACTTACTTACCTTCTAGTAACCAATTTCTCAAGCTGATGGAAATCATTGGAGGAGCCTGGGAGCCCCTGCCAGGGTGGTGTAGGCCTCCCCAGGGTCACTGGCACCATCTCAGTGGCTTAGATATTGGCACTGGGTGCAGTGCAGATCAATGCACAAGATGGTGCCATGTATTTTCTTACTGACTGGAGCATACCAGGTGTTTTAACTAACTATACAGTAGGCCTGTGCGAAGCGGCTAGTATTCAATTCAGATTCGGCCAATTTGGGGACAGTGATTTGATTCAGTGATTCAAATCACTGTCCCTAATCGATTCAGTCAAATCGGATTTGGAGATTTGTCCATTGCCAAAACAGCGCTGAAACTCCTAATCAAATAGGCCCCATCCTCTGCCTACTCTCCTAGCCCCATCAATGGCTGCCCCATCCAGCCCCAGCATCCCAGCTCTTAAGAAAATTAAAGCCCTGCACTCACCAGATGCTGCTGGGGGGTGGGGGGTGATCCCTGCTGCCCCCACTGCATGGAGGGGCTCTGCCACAAGGC